CCGCGCTGTCCCCAGCCCCGCACCGAGGGGACCCTTCACTCTCACGGCCAGACACCTCGGCCCCCTCACTGCCCCTTCCTGCCCCCTTGTCCCCACCAGCGCAGCCCCTGCGGGCACCCAGCTCCCCTCTCCCACCTCGTCCCCCTGGCAGCGCAAGGCTGGGAAGGATGGAGGTGCCTGTGTCCCACCAGGAGCCCTGCTCTTCCCTCCAGGGTGGCCCCAGGGACCCGCCAGCCCCTCTCCACACACCTCTAGGGACTGCAGAGCTGCCATCCCTGCCTTCCATGAAGATCTTGGATCCACGTCAGTTAGAACCCAACAGCATGGAGACAGAGAGAATCGTGACTGTCTTGGATGAGACAATTGCCAAGCTGGAGCTGACCAGTTTAATCCCACGTATTATCGACTCGCTGGACAGTTTTGGTGATCTGCTGGGACCTGAGATCACAAACAGCCTGATCAAGCTCCAAAAGCTTTCGAAGGAACTGGAGCACCTGCTTGCCAGCTCTGAAGGGGACACCAGGAGAGATGAGGAACAGCGGGGCTGTCTCTGCTTGTTAGAGCAACGTCTGAAATGTTCTGTTAGAAATGTCCTGAGACTCATGCTGGCCAACCCTGCGCTTTGCCAGGCTCTGAAATGCAAAGCCCGGGCGAGAGAGTCACCAGCTGAAGCCTTTATCAAAGCCTTTGGGGAGTTCAGGAGTTTCATGCTTGAGAGATTCCTGACTAGTCCCATGGAAGAGGAAGAGAGGATTAAGTTCATGGAAGACATCTCCCTCCGGATTAAGAAAAACACAGAAGCAATCAGAGCTTTCCAGGCAGAACTGGCAGCAGCAATCCGGACTCAAGAGGAGGAGGTAGGATATTGTGGGAACCTGTTTTCCAACAAAGCGTTACTGAAGCAGAGCTTTAGTAAGCTAAAAACTGATCCCTTTCTTGCAGATCCTAAAGAGGAAGTTCCAGAAATGATTTCAAAACCAGATCCTAAATTTAAAGATACTATTTTCATTGTAAAATATAATGAGAAAAACCCCGCTTTATTGCATGCTTGATTTTTTTTTAAAAAAACTTGAATTTGATATGTTTTGAACCTGTTTTCACAGGCCAACTTGAACGACACAAGTTCCTGAGTTTAAAAAGGAGCTACAGGACAGGCACAAATTGCTGCAGGAGCATTTTGTCAGGGCTACAATGTCAGCTGCCAGCACGAGGCTTCGTTCACTGCTGATGAAATGATGAAAAGTCATTCCAGGCAGAGATTGCTCTGATTAAAATCCATTTTTAATATCTGTTCTGCCTTCACTCTTGCTTAAAACCAACATTTCTCAGACTTCCAGCTCTGTAATACTGGCTGCCTTAGAGCATTTGTCATTAATATGTGATTATATGAATTAATTTTTTTCAGTGAAGGCACAGACAAAGGCACGGGCATTTCACAGGCTCTTTCTGTGAGTCCACAGGCTGTGCCAGCATCCAAGCCCCTGCACTCCTGACAAGCAATCCTTTGTTTTATCCATATGCTTTTCTTCCTCCTTCCCGCAAGAGGGGTCAGAGGAGAAGGTTTTGTCATGTGCTCGCTGCACTGAATGGTGCTAACAGAGACAAGGGCCTGCTCTCCCCATTCCCTCCACTCCTTGGAGACCTGTGGATGGAGACACACGGGATTTTTATGTGCAGGTTGGCAGCTTGTCCAAGGCATCGTGAATAAATCTGTTTCACTGCGAGGATTTCTCTCGCAGGCAGCGCACTGAGCTGTGTCCCCCAGACAGTCACTCAGCCTAATCCAAAGCTTGAGGGAGACACAGGGCTCGCTCCACAGGTTTCTAAAGCACCAACTGTTCCCTCAGCCAGCAGTGGCAGGTCCCTGTCCCTACCAGAGCAGCAGGGTCTCTTCCTAGATCTCCACCTTTGCAAGGCTGTCTTGCTTCTCCTGCCCACCTCGTGCCTCACCGGCATGTCTCCATGGTATTTCTTCCTCTTCTTTTCTCCATCTAGATTCAGAAGAAGGACAATGCCATCAAAAACCTCAAAACCAGCATACAAGATCTGACCCAAGATTGCAAGGCTGGCATCCAGCAGATCAAGGAGGAAGGAGAAATACAGCAAAAAGAGGAGCGACAAGCCTCCTGGGCGAGGTGTGCCAGGCTACAGCAGGACATTCAGGAGCTGGGAAATCAGCTCCATACCCTTGTACTGGAGCATCGAGCATCAGAGCTGGCTCTCAGAAAGGTAAACAGGAGGAGAGCTCTAGAACAGGAGCTTTAAAACCTTTTGTGGTGCTGTCAGCTCTGGCTGCTGCAGGTAATTATTTGGTTCCTGCTAGTTCCTGGCAGGATGCACATGCTGGTTGTCAGAGTGTACCTGCTCTGTCCTCATGCTCTGCTGAGTCCAGTGGAAAACAACCCTGCAGCGACAGCAGGGAAGTAGCCTGCTCACAGGTCCTCCTGCTGCCTGAGCTCTGAAAACACCTCTACGCAGTGCTGTGACTCTGCATGCTAGAGAGGTTGTGCTCTAGTCAGAGTGCCGAGCAGCAAAACAGGCCAGGAATACGTAGAGAAGGGATCTGGTGCGGGGTAAGCAGAGCAAACACAATGCTGGCTGCATATAAAGCCATCTTTTAGAACTGACTGGAGTATTCGGTGCAGCTGATCTTGAGAGTGAAGCAGTTCCTACTCTGTCTGGCACTTTGCTGAAGACACAAGCCAAGGAGTCGGGTTGAGTTGGATGAAGGGAAAAAGTGTTTTATCCCAGTGCTGAGCAGATGCAGAAGGAGGAAACAGGAGCAGCAGGGAGGCTCAGGCCCCCGCATCAACAGCTCTGCCCTGAGCGAAGTGTGCTGGTGACACAGGGCACAGAGAATCTAGAACTGGAAAAAAGAGCATTTTTTTCCCCTCATTTTGCTCCTACTGGGATTTACTCCAAACAAGCACTGGCCTCCCACAGGCAGGACAGCACACACGGGGCGTGGGGCATCTCTCACTCTTGCACTGGGCGATTTAGAGCAGAGTGGCAGCAGGGCTGGGCACTGACCAAGCATCAAATGCAAGTTAGAGCCGCAGAACAAAATCCCAAATTCACCTACTTAAACCTCCTTTAATGGAGGGGCTTTACCAGGCAGTTCCTCCTGAACTGCAGGTCCCTGCAGTATTTGTTGAGTATATTTGAGTTGAGTACATTCTAATACTCAGGCAAAGATGGACTGACCCCAGAGGTCTCTTTCCCCCATCTTCTAGCCCTGGGTGGCCCGAGGTTTTACTTGTGGTCTAAATAGCTGAGGTCTGACCTCATGATGGCCCTGGGAGCCTTTGGGACATCCTGGTTCAGTGTCATACAGGAAACTGCATGGCACTTGTGATGAGCTCTAGCTGATGTTAATGATTCCACAGAGCACAGAGAGAGCAGCTTGAGGTGAACTGCCCATACCTGGTTACACCACAGTACAGCCACCGTTAAACTGCTTCACAGCTAGAAATATCTGCTTTTTTTTAAAGGCTCCATCTTTTGAGCACTTTCTATCCTGCTTTCATGTTTAGCACTTCTCTATTGCTTCAATTTCAGGGTGTTTGCCTCAGTTTGTCGATGACTTGCCACATTCCTGCAGACATTTTTATTTCCTACTGCAGAATGCACTTTTCAGATGCGTTTCAACCCTCAGCCCTCACCCAGCTCCATGCTGTAAACCCAGTAAAGCCCTTTTGGCCTCAGGGAATGTCCCATGAGAATCACCAAACCAGGGCAAACAAAAAATGTGTCAGCTGAAGGAAGCTTGCCACAAGAAGTTGTTATATTAAAATATAATGATACTGGAGCTCAAAGCTACATTGTTTTCTAACTCAGGCTACTTTTTACCAGGCTTCAGGTGCCTGCAAGGAACTTATCTTGTTTTGTGTTTCAGAGGAACTGCAGAGTGGAGACAGAAATTGTGAACTGGATCCAGAAATATGACACAGACATGGAAGAAAAACAGGTATCCTCTCTAAAGTGCTTTGTTCTCCCACGAGGTGATACGCTCAGGTAGATTCCCATACAAATGGACTTGTACGTGGCTCCTACACAGGGGGCTGTAGAAGTGAGGAGCATTTTTCTATCCACGAGAAGTACAGGCTTTAGAAGGAAAGGTTATCACTGTCCTGCCTATGTGTCCAGGAGTTCTCTGCTGCTTTGACTTTAGAAAAAGTTACAGCCACTGCTAAATCCCACAGTACTGGGGGCAAATGGGTTGCCATGTTCTGTCAGACACACCCACCTGGTGATAGGGAATGGCATTTTCACCTTTGCTTCAGTCCTTGATCCTGTTCGCTCAATCTGGTGTCCAAATCATGCTCCTGTTTCTGCTGGTTCGCTCGAGAGACATCTCTCAAGTGCTAAGAAACCAAACAGCCTGCATACCCCTGCCTTGGCATCCAGCTCAACCACGACAGGCTGAGAGCCACGACAGCACACCCAGCCTCACCTCTGAGAAGGCCCTAGTTGCTTTCCTGTTCCTGCCCTATTTATGGAGATGGCTAAAAGCTGCTGGATTACTAACAGAGCAAAACACAGGGAGGGGCCTAGAAGCTGGCTGCTAATTGTAAAAAATTATCCCCCTTCGTCATCAGGTGTTTAACAATGTGATTATTGTGGTTTCCTGTCTGCTGGGTGGCTGGACCACCACGTCACAGTGTTAGGGGCAGAGCTGGCTAAGGCAGACACACATCCACAGTGCTGGTACCCCTCATCTTCCACCTCCGCATGGCTTCCTCAAAGGCATTTGGAAAGGCACAAACTGCTGCTGAGCTGGGAAGTGCAGTAACATCATTAAAACGACCTGTCCTTGGCCTTTTCCAGCCTGACACAGTCTGGCTCTTCTCAGGCTCTCAGCACTGTACAGCACATTAGCTGGGCTTCAGCGCCATCATCTAAATGGCTTCATAGAAGAGCTGTTACCTCAGGCTCAGCCTTACCCAAACTGCTGCGAAACCTCCTTTTGCTGAGAGCATACGCAGGAGGGGCTCTGACCTGTGCTGCTTGCCGGGCGGGCAGCCAACACAGCCACTCGCTCACTGCCCCCACCCAGGGGAGAGGGGAGAGAGTTGGGGGGCAAGGGGAAGGAGACTCGTAGGGTGAGAGAAAAACAATTTAATCACTGATATAAAATAAAACTTAAAATAATAATGATATTAAAATAATAATGATAACAATAATAGTAATAATAAAACATGTCAATGAGTGACACCCAGTGCCATTGCT